GGATTGTTGATTGTTTGCTTTGTTCGGGATGGCATCAGCGTCGGGCAGCCTGATTCATGTATACGTATGTAAGTAGAGGCGTTGGCCAGCGTGTATGGATTGGAATGTTTGTTATTTACCATCTCTTTTATTCCTTTATGAGCGATGCTTGTTTCAATTTGGTCTGACTCAGATTGATTGAGTGGCACATGAGCGACCTGTCAGATGGGTACTATGCAAGGTCTCCGGAAACATTACTACTCCGCCAAAGTGATCAAATCACTCACCGCTGCAGTGTGTGTGTGTGTATCAGTGCCCCTTGCCCATGTCCATAAAAAGCTGCCACTATTGTCAATAAATATCCTGCTATGCCAGCAGACAAATTGCTGAATAGCCACATCATCCACATCACCAACAAACCAACCAACCATGCATTTCCCTCTCCTCATCCCCCTCCTCCTCACAACCATAACCCTAACCACCGCCCAATACCTCAAAGACATCAACCCCATCGCAGTCGACTACCCCGTCCACGTCGACTTCGTCCCCGACTCCACCCACCTCGCCGACCTCGAATCCCCCAAACTCTCCGAAGTCAACACCACCGTCTTCGAATGGTGGTACTTCGACGCCGTCTCCTCCACCAACCCCAACGCCTCCATCGTCCTCACCTTCTTCACCACCACCGCTACTGCATTTCCCGCCGTCCCGCAAAACCTCTCCTCCGTCCTGCTCACCTACGTCTGGGCGACCTTGCCGAATGGCACCACTGTGTCTCAGCATATGGTCCCGATCGATGCATCGGTGATGGGCGATCGCGATGTCAATTCCGGCGGGTGGGAAGGCACGGGTGGTTGGTCCGGACGGGAATCGGGGTATGAGGCGTGGGTCGGGTGGGAGGGGGGCAGGGTTAGTGGGAGGATATTGTTTAGGGATGTGAGTACATATATACCTTTTAGAATGAAGATGATAGTGGTTGGAAGACTAATGATGGTGAGGAGTAGCTCGCTCCGCCACTCCTGCCTTGCTCGACGCCTCACCAGACGAATCGCGCGTTGGGACTCGGTGAGGGTTTGGGTTGGGTGAGTATGGTGCCGGATTCGCATGCGATGGTGGATTTGGTGGTCGATGGGGAGAAGCTGCAGTTTATGGGCTTTGGGTATCATGATAAGGTATGCCCTCCCTCTTGTTTGTCTTACACTATGTCTGATAGGGGTTAGAATTGGGGAAATCGCCCGTTTCAGAATACCGTCAAGAGTTGGTCCTGGGGCCATGTGCATATTGGTCAGTATGCGTTGGTGTGGTTGCAGTATACTCCTCGGGCGGGAGGGGATGATAATAACAACACCACGCCGATTGTGAGCGCCTATCTGGCTCGTGATGGGAAGGTCGTGCAGTCCGGATGTCGTAACAGCCTTATCAGTATCTGGGAGAGGATGACGGCGAACAGCTACGGTGTGGATGTGGGGATGGATGGTGTGGAGCTGCGGATTGAAGGGACTGTGGAAGTAGCTGGTGATGGGAAGAATTATTTCCGGTGGAATGGGGTAGTCCATGGGACAGTGGAGGGCCAGAAACTGGATGGGGGAGTAGCTGTGTTTGAAGGGTTCAGGTTGTAGTAGTAGTAGTGGTAATTTCAACAGGTTGTAGCTGGAATGGACACATTCGACCTGTCTATTTACAAGGTACCAGTATAGTAAGTAGTAGTAGCTAACTATGGAGACAATCATTTCAACCACTCGTCCACCAACCCCCGATAATCCTCCATCCCGTACGGCTCCAACCACTTCAAACTGCCCTTCCGTCGCCAATCCAGTCCCATATCCTGCAACAACAGATCAATATACGGCAATGTGTCAAACACGAAGTCAGGATTTCTCTTCCCAAATCCCCCGGGACACCGATACTTCCCGAACTGCGTATGCAGCGCCATCTCCCACACCACATCCCCGTCCACTTCATCCTCCATCAACCCCTTCTTCACCTCCACCGGACAGGTCTCCCTCGCCTTCACCCCAATCCCATCACCCATAAACGCCGCCACCCACAGCGCCTGCACCTGCGCAATCAGCGGCGTGTTCACCGTCATCGTCGTCCCCAGCACCGCCACCGACCTCTCCTTCAGAAACGCCGCCGGCACCATGAATCTTACCAACCGGAACGGATGCTTCGCAGTAGCGGGTGCCCCAGGAGCCAGGTGCTGATAATCCTCCTTCCCATTAACACCGACGCTCAAACTCTCGCGCAGCTTCGGGAACCGCGTCAAAATCTCCTGATCCGCCCTCTTCACCATCGGCGTACTCAAGTAATCCTCCGCCCACGGGAACCCCAACTCGCTCTCAATGCCCGCGGGTCTGAACTCCATATTGGGTTGGGCTTTCCACCCGGTAGCACAAATCAACCCCTCGCTCTGAATAACCTCCCCGGACTTACCAAGACAGATACCCCCATCTTCGGTAAGTTTCACAATGTCGTCAATCACCAGCCGTACCTTCCCCTCCCGAACAAGAGAGTAGAAATCATCCTCATAGTTGAGAATACTCAGTCCACTGGCAATCCAAAAGCAACTGTACCACGGCTTCAACTTCTTCGTCTCCTCGTGGCCGTCGTAGTTGTTTAGTGTCAACAAGTCGTTCTCCAGCACCGCCCAGTACGCATTCACGATCTTCCGGCCGAGCCAGGTACCATGCAGAAACTTCCGAATACGTGAACACCCGTCCGCGTCGCCCCAGATACAGGGCGAGAACCAGGTCAACAGCCGCGTGGTGAGGAGCTTCTCGAACCATTTCTTCAAGGGGGTAACGTACATCGGAGTCATCCACACCGGCCCGTGGCCTGTCGAGCGGATGATCCATGTGACGTTGGCGCCGGACGTCGCGGCGGCGTGCACGGCGTCCCATGCGGATTTGGTCCCGCCGTAGATGGTGACCTTTTTGTCCTTTTGGAAGAGGGTGGCTTGGTGGGGGAGGAGAGTGCCCGTGTGTGTGATGATGTGGGGGTAGGTTTCTTGTCCTGGGATGTGAGGGAGGAAGGGCTCGGAGGTCATTCCTGTTGCTAGCAACAGCTTCTTTGTACGGATTATCTTCCTTTGGACTTCGTCCGAAGAGGAAGAGAAGGGGGAGGTGCTGGTGGTGAGTGTCCAACCTCCGTCATTATCGTCGACATGCTCGACGACTTCCACCTTCGTCTTGAGGCGGATCAGGTCCCGGATGTTGAAGTGGTCCACGTAGGCATTCAGGTACTTGTGTACCACGTGTCCCGGGATATGTTCGCCTTTCTTCACCCCGAATGTGGCGCTGTCCATGGGGAAGTCACTGTACTCGTAGGTGCCCAGCATGTTGTTGGTTTTGAGGCCCTGGTAGAGCCGGTGGGCGGCCCAGACGCCGCCGACGGTGGTGGCGCTGTCCAGTAGGAGGATGCGGGCGGTGGGGTGCACCTCGTGGTAGGTTTTGAGGGCGGAGAGACCAGACCATCCTTTTGCAGAGGAGTGTTAGTGTTGTGAGGTAGGAGGGTGAGGATGGATAGATGGAGTGGCATTGACATTGGGGGAAAGGAAGGGTATGGGACGGGAAGGGGCATGCAAGGGATAGATGGAAGGATGAATGGATGGAAAGGTGAGTGGAAAATACCTGCTCCGACAATAACGAGATCGACGGATTCCATTTCCACAGACGACTCCATAGTGGATGGATGACGAATCCGTAGGCTGTAAATGGAGTGGATTGAATGGAATTGAATTGAATGGAGAAAACCAAATAGAAAGAAAGAAAGAAGAAGAGGAAGACAATGGCAAAGAAAGGAATGCCAGTCGGTGATTAAAAATAGACAATGTACTTTGTTGCTAATGTAACACAACCGCGCTCACAAGCATTTGCTCGAGTGGAGCAGCCACAACCAGCGATTTATAGTAACACAAAGACCCAAGAAAAGAATGGGGAGACCAGACGAGAAGAGGGGGGGGGGGGGGATAGTAGTATGACCGTTGGAAAGCCGCCGATCGCGGGTTTTAATCCCGTCGATACTCCCTGTCTTGGCTGCATAATGGAGTGAAGGGGACTTGGATTTACTCCGTTACTAGTGGCTGGCTGACGGGATTCACTGTCTGAAAACAGAGTAGTACAGTACGGACTACGGAGTACAGAGGAATTGGGCCGGAGAAAAAAAATACAAGTAGGGACTAGATTGGTCTGCAGTTGAGACGGAAGATGATAGTTAGAGTTCCGAGGAAATTGCAGAGTCCTCAACTTAAGTACGGAGGACAAGGATGGGGATGATACAGGCGCGTTCATTTGTTGGTTGATCGCAAGCGACGGCCGGCGCGGACACTAGTTTGGTAGTGTTTGGTAGTTGACAGTTAGGGTTATGAAAGGGCAGCTCCACCGGGATTTGGTCCCAATGTTCAGAGTTTGACCCGGTGATTCACTTGACAGGAATGACAGGATGTCAGCTTTGGTTGATTCCTGGATCGTCAGAACTTTGTCTTAGACTTTAGTTATAACTAACATAGTAAATTGACTTGTCAGTCAGCTCTTCACTGCCGCCCTGCCCTGCAGCTCTATCTGATTAATGCGATAAACTCAATATTCAGATTCGATAGTTGATGCATACACCCGCATTATCGATATGTCATGCATCCTTTGCATCCTGCGACTCAATTTCTGGGTCTGTGCTGATCGGCTATCCGTAAATTTGTGCCAACTTGTTGTTGCTGCCAAAGTACTAACTACCGATGCCTCCGTAATCCCCGCGCTGATCTCTGTCTCTATCCGGTAATCATAGCGTTCTTCCTTCTTCATCCTCATCTTCTTCCCATCTCCACTGCCCCCGTCCACACCCACACACATACACGAACTGGGCCATGGCTTTTCCCCCCCTCCCCCCGTCTCTTCCCGCGTAACGGCACACGGCCTGGCCTTGTTTCTGGGCTGGGTCTGATGCTTAGTATAGTCTAGTATGGCCTACCGGAAATTACAAGAACTGGTCCCCGTAGTTTCAGTCTAGTCCACTGTGTGGCCCATTCGCCTCCCTATCTTGCTTAAGTGCCACCAAACTACTGCATCGTACTTCGGGCTCTCCCCTGTCAGGAGACAGAATACACCAGGGAGGAAGGAGACCACCAAAAAAAAGGGAGCCAGCACGGAACCACTCGCTTGGGTCGGATGTTTTGCCGGGTGGTGAATATGAACCGTGCGTGCCGACTGTCAACTGAGGCCAGTGCCAAAATTTAGAACAGGAAGGCAGACAGACAGACAGACAGGCAATCAGTGACTGGGATGTTTCATGACTGGGGATATATTAATATGTAGTATACCCTCTTAGTCCCTTTTCTCCTGATTGTCTTGTCTTTTGTAAACAGATCCACAGGTCCACTCCTTTCCACCACCCTCTCTTGCAACTTCAGTCAGTCAGTCAGTCAGTCAGTCATGGCAGGCGACGACTTCGCCGTCGAGGCGTTCACTCTCTTAGCCATCGCCATCGTCACTATAGCCATTCGCATCGTTGCACGATGGTTCACCGCCGGCTGGAAGAACTTTATGCTCGATGATTATTTGATGCCGTTGGCGGGGGTATGTGCCTGCCTCTCCCCGCCACCATTTCCCACGCCACTCTATGCTGATTAGACTGGTTCTATGACAGGTAGTATACGGTCTCGAAACAGGCGCCGCCTACTGCGTCAGCGCATGGTGGAAAGGTCTCGCCAACAATGCCATGACGGACGCTGAGCGCGCTGCGCTCTCTCCTACTTCAGAGGAGTACCATTTGCGGGTTGGGGGGTCCAAAACGCAGGTACTGGGGTGGTCGCTGTATACCACGTTGCTGTGGCTGCTGAAGTCATGCATGGCGGTGTTTTATTCTCGATTGACGTATGCAGCCACCGCACCACGCTCACTTATCCCACAAATATCATACTAACAGTTCATCATGATAGGGCCGGCCTCATCAACATGCACATTCGCATCCGCATCGCATACTTCCTCATCGGAGCCACTTACATCGCCGTCATCGTCAGCATCCTCGCAGGATGCCACCCTATCCAGAAGAACTGGCAGATCAACCCCAACCCGGGGAACTACTGCCAGCCGGCTGTCTCACACATCGACGTCTATGTGACGGTGGTGTTGAACGTCTTTACAGACGTGTACTTGATTTCCATCCCGACCCCTGTAAGTAGTCCATCCTTGTACCCTGTCCTCTCCATGACAAATAGTTCCAGCCAAGTCTAACTATCGAAATTATTTGAAATGTCCTAGATCTTGTTTAAAGCTCGTCTTCCCTGGCGTGAGAAACTCGAACTCCTTATCCTCTTCAGCGGGGGTACCTTTGTCATGGCTTGTGGTATCCTTCGTTGCGTACTGATCGTCACCGTATGTGCCACCTCCCTTCACCCAAAAGACACACACCCACTAACCATGGTAATGCAAACAGGCTGGTGCCAACGGCGCCTCTCAAGCCGGCAGCTGGGCCTGCCGCGAGACCTTCGTAGCGGTAATAATCGGCAACGCGCCGATGATCTACCCGATGTGTCGCAGACTGGCCATGCGAGCAGGGTGGTACATGTCGACCAAGGGGACGAAGGGCAGTTCGCAGAGTTATCCCTTATCGGATGGAGCGGCGCATTCGGGCACGGATAATAGTAAGAATAAGAGACGCAAGTTCAAGCATCCGCTGTCATTGCCGGATACGCAGTGGAATACGGTTAGTGATGAGCAGATGATGCTCCCGCCGGGGGAGTGGGAGGTTAGTCATGCTGCAAGGGATGGGGATGGGAGTGCAGTTGTTCCTGGGAATGGAGGGGTGTATGATGGGGGGTGGAAGGGGGGGAGGGAGACGGTCGTTTCGACGGCGTAATTTTCTATGTTTACTACTATTTCCTTTGTGGGTTTCTTTTGTTGGGATGGATAAAATATAAGGATATGGGTATGGATGGTTATGATAATGGTATTCTCACACAACTTGTGCAATTGACTAAGAAGGAAAATGGTAGTGAGTAGTGAGCATCGCACACCGTAGATTATATACTCCTGAGAGGATGAAGGCAGAGGTCACTTCATCTCCTCCATCTCCGTCAGATCCTGCTTCTTCAACGACGCCTTGACCGGATTCTTCTGCTGGAAAATAGCAGTCAACTCCTCCAGCGTGCGCTTACTCGTCTCCACAAACAGGAAGTAAATCACAATCACCTCCATCGTATCCCAGAAGATGAACAGGAAGTAATACTTCCATCCAGCCTGCGTGAAAGCAATGCCAGTGACAAAGGTATTGTAAAACGACGCAATGTTGACGAAGAACTGCCACAATTAGCACCCACTCTCTCACACACGTATATATATTCATGTAAGAAGAAAAGAAAGAAGGATTAAAACGTACGTTGTTCATCCCCATCCCCTTCGCCCGACTCTCATACCGCAAACACTCCACCGGATACATCGCCTGATTAGGCGTCCAGCCAGCCGAATAGATAAACCCAAAGAGATAAATCATCGCGATCTGTGCGCGCGCTGCAACTGCGCTTTTGGCAATGGGCGTGCCGTCCGGTCCGTCGACCACGTTCGTTGCGTTCAATGCTGTCACGATCGCGAATAATACCACCACGATACTCGTCGACACGAGGAGCTGTGTACGTCGCCCCATTCGGTCGGTGATGAGGGCTCCTGACACGGCGCCTAGGAATGAGACGACGTTCTGCACTCCTTGCAGCATCAGTTGCGTGTTGTTGTCTGTGATTCCGGCACCGCGGAGCATCTGCGGGTAATAGTAGCTGACGGGGCCGTTGCCGGTCCATTGGCCGAAGAGGGCTATTTTCACTTATCAGTATGTATTATATAAGGGTTGGGGAAGGTGTGGAGATATACCCATAATGATAACCAGCATAGACCGGTACCGCACTTCCCGGGTATTGAACAACTCGCGATAATCCCACCACCGCTTATCCGATCCCGTCTGGGAGATATCCTCAATCATCTCGCGGTACTCGAGCTGCACTATGGGCGCGTTCCTGTCCCCATCGCCGTGGTAGTCGGCGAGGACTTGCAGTGCGGCGTCGTGTTTGTCTTGGGAGATGAGCCAGCGGGGACTCTACACATCAACACGTTAGCATCCTGTCCACGCCCTAGAGAAGATACAGTGGTGAGGACACACCTCAGCAACAAAAGGCACAAACACCAATACCAACCCCGAGAACACCATCTGCAACCAGATCGGGATCCGCCAACTCATCGTCCCCTCGATCTGACTCGTCCTCCACGGGATGAATGTCCCCGGAATACCGCCTCCGAACCACAACACATTGTATAGACCCGTCATGGCGCCACGGTATGCTGGATGCGCCATCTCCGATACGTACGCCGGACCGGCTGTCGCGGAAATGGCGACGCCGAAACCGAGGATGAATCTTCCGCCCATGAATCCGCCGATGTTGTGGCAGGTTGCTTGTACGATGGTGCCGATGATGATGAAGAGGGAGCCGAGGGCCATGCCGACGCGGCGGCCTATTAATCATTCATGTGTTAGCTCGGGCATGTTGGGATCATGGATGGGGTGAAGGAAGGGGTATACCTTTAAAGTCAGTAGCCGGGCCAGCCACGAACGATCCGACGATATTTCCGATAGTATAGATGGCGTAAACGATACCCGTGGACGGCGTGCCGTTGTTCGGGTCGAAGCCGAAGTAGTCTCGGTACTGGGCGTAGCTGTTGATGGAACCCATCAGGGATCCGTCGTAGCCGTTGATGCAGGAGTTGAGCATAGCGACGGCGATGCAGCAGTACAACTATCGACACACTATGTTAGGAGACGATAGAGTACTAGAAAAAGAGGGTATACCTTGAGCATGCTCTTACTCCATAGCGACGGCTTCTGGAGACTCGTCGCCACAGCCAGAGCCGTGTCGCCCACCCCACCCTTGAGTTGGACATTGGGGTGGTCGGAGTCGTCGACGTGAGAGACGCTGGTGGTGGTTTTCTCAGCCATATCCACTCACTTGGTTGAGGTATTGAATAAGATATTGATGATCGGGATGAAAGTGGGAATAACACGGGGAACTCACCACACATATATACTAATTAGTGAGTACTAAGTCGAGGCCGCCGGTGAGGCCAGGTAGAATGTATCGGATGCAACGGTAATATGGCCGAGGAGATGTGATAGGATCGGCTGATGCAGCAAGGGTGCAGCCCCGTATCCAAACGGGAATAGAGAATCCGGGGTAGGTTTACCCTGTGGTGGAAGATGAATGGTTGGAGGGCAAATTGTTGGCGGGGGAGGCTGCTAACTACTGCACTAGTCGATACCTTTGATTTGATAGACCTTTAGCCACTACGAGCCAGCTATAATTGACTCATTCTAAACTAAGCTAACCTACTTTAATGAACCTCTGATCCTGTTCATGTCAGCGTTTCTCAAATACCACGGAATACGGCCCGACGTGCCGTAGGCATGGGGATCCGGGGTAGAGAAATTAAAGTCAACCCTAAGCGAGGCACTCCGCAGCGCATGACCCATACGAGAGCTCGAATGAATCTGCCAATAGGCCATTCGATAATTTGCCTATAGCTGCAAGTCTGGAATCAATCAGACCACCCATATCGCGCGAGTTATTTCTCCACCCGCCACATGGAAAACTGGAAACGAGGGCCGAATCGATTCGCCTCGGGCATCACTGCAGCCCAACCCGCACAGACCGGGTCAACTCGATCTAGCCTGTTAGTAGACCCAGACCAGACCCTTTTAGACGCAGGGTCCGAGCTAGATTCCACGTGTAATTACAGTTTACATCAATTGCTTAGTGCTGGCTTCTGTTTTTCTTGTCTGTCTGTCTATCATGACTCATATTACACATAACAATAACATCTAGCTAGCTAGCTATACAAGCTATCATACACTCACCCAACCAGCCCAGCCCCCCAAACTCCAACCCAAACAATACACAAATCAAAAAATCAAATCATGCCAAAAACTCCCCCTTCTCCTCGGGACTAACATACAAACTCAACGTATAATACCTCCCCTCAATAATCTCACTCTCCCCGACCAACCCCCCAGCCAACACCAACCTCGAACCCCCCCGAAACGGCATCGCCACCCACATCAACCTACCCTCGCAATCCGCCCCCATCCACGCCGTCTCCGTACACGACATACTACTCCCAAACAGCAGCGGATTGAACCCATTGCACACGGCCTCGGGGATATGCAGCACGTTCTCGAGCACAATGGTATGCGTATCGAACGGGTTATCGAGGCTGCGGACGACGGGGATCTCGACGGTTCCGATACCGGCCACTTCGAGCTCGTCCATTGGGTTGAAAATGTTGTTCTTGAGGTGCGCGGTCACAGGTCGGTAGGTTGTGAAGTGGGCGCGGTCGCGCGCGTAGTGCACGTTGCCTTGCACCACCATCCAGTCGTGGCAGATGCGTTGCGATGACGGCAGGTGCATCGCTTTGGTGCGTTTGCGGGGGGAGGTCGGCGGGCTGAGCGGGCGGGTGGTCATTTTGGTGCGGCTTGATGGGCTGATGGGAGGGATAGAGTTGTAAGGTGGTGTGAAGCTGTGCTGTTGCTGTGTGGGTGTGAGCTGTGAGGGTGTTAGTGGGTCAATTGGGATGTTTGGGGGGTGAATTTGAGATAGACATACTAGTTAATTGCGTAGGTGGTGGATGGACGGGTCAATGGGTTTATAATAGAAGTGAAAAGGGTACGAGATTGAGAAAGAGATCTCGTGAGATGCTGAGCTGAACCAGACTTGACGCGCCGAATGCGGAAGTCGGGCAATATATCGGGGCGGTGGCTGGTTTACCGCCTGCGCTAGCTGGTTTGGGTATGACGGGTTGCTATTTCGGGTAAGCGAGGTAATACGGGAGTTTGTTTCTCCGGTTGTCGCGCTCTGCCTAAAGGGGTTAAGCGTTCTGCAATGAGCAATAATAAATCAGTAGGGAGAAGATGGTTACAGCTGACTACTAGACTATTGTTCACTAATGTAAAGAAGGGGGATTTGCAGATTGTCGCAATAGGTCTACCGCAGTTTGGGGAGACAGATATTCTAGTCGCTTTGCCAGACCGCTATGGCCCGCTGAGGAACCTCTACATTTACAAGCGAATGGCAAACAGTGACAATTGCTCTCCACCAGCTGAATACGATACGTCAAATGATATCAATTTGTTGAAGCAAGGAACAATGCAGCAAAAATCTTGCTGCGAATGTTATTTGTGGTTCCTAAATCTTAGAAAAGTCTTGACCTTGAATATCCCATCTTATCATCCCATCATATCTTCCAAGAAGCGTGAGCTTTTAACAAAACTGATCATCGCGAAATGCTGAGTTCAGTCTTCGTTAGCATGGCGCGCTTGCATTATCGATAACACCCCTCCGGCTGAACAAGAGACAGGCTTACGTTCTCCTGCTAATGCGAGTCTCAAGTTTTGGCTTCTGGCAATTATCACATTTTCCTAGCCAAGGTTCTGCGAGCTGATAGTCCCAATGTTTCCGAGGACAGGCCCTACCCTCTCGTTGTGCAGTTTCACAGCGTGTGAAACCAGCCTGGGCTAAATGTTTACATCCAAGGTGGCTGCGTACTGCAAAGGAGCACATCGTGCTATTGTTTGTTGAGTGGTAGATTGGTTGGAGAATCGAGTGACAGATATTGTGGTAGCAAAGGGTGAGAGTTCGACAGCGCAGGAGGGAAGAGGATAATTTAGAGAAGTTAGCGAGTAAGAAAAAGTTCAGAGTAAAAGCATGCCTGGAAGGGCCATCTTATACAATTTTAATGGAATTCTTCACTTCGTTTCTAGAACTATGTTAAACCGGGAGAAGCCGTGCACTTGTGACAAAGAGCGATAAATCTTCCGTGCCGATCGACAAGCTTACTTACACAGCCCTGATACAGAGCCTGAATCTGCAGTGATTGTCTGTTTGACTGGCACGCTAATGCTTCATAGTCACTGTCTGAGAACATTCCCTACTGTTGTCTGCAATGTTGAGCGACTTAAATTGTAGCAAGCCAGATCCGAGATTTAATTACTCATCTGTATATAGAATCGGTATAGCAATTTACATTTTCACGGGAGCCATTCTCAGATTCTCACCTTATCAGAATCTATTTGTTAGTGAATGTGATGGTGTTATTCCATCAACATGGCTTCTTTGGGAATAGGCTGCCAATACCGTCAGTTACATGGGTACCAGAAATACCGTCTCACAGTCACTATCGCTTGCTTCTACTATCTCATCTCTAGTCTGATCTTACTTCTCACAATCTACAGACATAACCAGCAACCTCTTCTGCTCTTATATCACAGTTGTTAGCGATTTGCTATCCCGAGGGATCATGGAACCAACACCACTAGCTGATGCCATTACTACTCCAGTGCCTGCAGTTGACCTGATCCTCGAAGATCGATGCCGGGATTTTGCAATAGCTGATGTAACCCACATCATCGTCAAGTGAGTAAGCTATGAATTTACTCCATAAGGAGCTGGAAGACATCATCTAACTAACCTCATCCCAAGACTTCCTTTGGGAATACTGAACTCGATAATGGAATCCTGTGCCGTGAGCTACAATCCCAACCAACCACGGCTCTTCAGGGAAATTATCGGAAAGGCAATATCGAAGGCTTTCTTTGGTGACAAGCAGCAACTCCAGTGCATGAAGTCTAAACAGATTAGGAACATGGAGTATATTGGATACAGGAACGTCCATAGAACAGAAACTCCCATAAAGTCTCCTCAAGTCATCGTGGTGGCTCTCTTGGAACCTGTTCCCGGCCAGAACTTGAAGGCGGTTTGGAAGCCTGCCCCAGAACTCACACCTGCAAAAATTCGAGAGCGTGAGTATCTGGCGCCATGAGTTCAATATATATGCTAACAGTATGATTGAGCAGGGACTAGATTGAGGGCTATGGAGAATTCTGTCAGAGAACAGTACAGAAGATGGGGACTACACTTGGACTGATTGTTGTGGAAGTTGTGGTCCTTTCAGATCTTCACAGAGTGGGTGAAGCTGTACCTCAGTAGAACGCAAATTACGACCACACAATATTCTACCGAGAAGATAGTGAAACCGCGTTTGATTGAGAGCTAGGTTAGCACTAGGCGCTTCTAATTCGATTTCTAATACAAATATCGAGCCTATTGCCCGTACCGAACATCTCAAATTCAATTGGCTTATGAACAGCCCAGGTCGTTGCAGCTTAGCCGAGAAATATACAACAGGAAGTCAGGGAGTAATAGATTTCAAATAAATGTTGGCGTAGGACGGCGTAAAAAGTAGCTAATTATATCACGTTACATGGCAATGTGAGCCGGCGTGACCATGGCAGGGTACAGCATCCTTCCTCGTAAGGCGAACCGTGAAGCGTTAGTCCCGATGAACCATATCTATGAAAGCAAGTTTCCCCATGTTTTCGGACTTTGTTGAACCGAGTCATGCATGACAGACCAGAAGGGCTGCATACTACAGTGCGGGGGAGGGCCTGTCCAGTCAGGCGCGAAAACTAAGTCCACCAATACAATGAAGCTCCTCGAGCTTGAGCACGGTCGCCTCGGGGATAGTAACCCCATTGAGTTTGATACTTGGCACCATAAGAGGAGAAGATGAAGGTCTACCGCTTCTACCGAGCAAGAATGATCAACATGCGTGTAATTCTTCTTTCCCTTCTCGTGACTCCGATCCTTGCTGTGGTGGGACCTGAGTCTCTGGGGTCAGATATCTCCATTCTACTGCATAATAATCTATTAGGTGAGTATGAGCCAAGATAGCAAAACAGCAGGATGTATAACCCTTAAATAGAGGCAGATAGTCCACTGGTAAACTCAAGCGTCATAATTCTGGGTGACAAGAATTTGGAGGAAGCGACCGAAGCCTGCAATGCGCTCGGAGAGTCACTCTGGGGCAGTTCTCCGTCGACACCTGCAGAAATCAAGCCTGATCTTGAATACCTTTCATACCGTGGCGACTACAAAGGTTATCAGCGTTTCTGGATATTACCAGTCAACAGCACTGGTAGGACAATCAATCTGAAAGGAACTATTGCACCGGCAGAGAGCAACCATCTTTACCCCGTGCTTTGCACACAGAATGCTCCTTATTCGACAGAAGACTACCAGAACACAAGCAGCCAGTATCAAGTTACAGTGCATGCGAACAATGAATACCTCACAGGGTAAGATTTTCCTGTCCGTGAACCAAACATTTAGCTCACCGGGTAGGTATCGTGATCATGTTATATTCCGGTTCATTGGTGTCCGCTTTGCTACCGAGAAAGAACGATGGACCTATCCAGAACAATATACAGGCAGTGGAGGCAACGTATCTGCTTTGAAATATGGGTCCGTGTGTCAGCGCGACGAAAATGGTAATGAAGAGAACTGTCTCATTCTGAATATCTGGACTCCTTACCTCCCTCGTCAGCCGGCAGAGAAGAAGAAATTGAGACCAGTAGCATTCTGGATCCATGGCGGTGCCTTTACTGGCGGAAGCCCGGACGATCCATACTACGATGGAGGGAATCTTGCATCTAGGGGCGATGTTGTCGTGGTTGGGATCAGCTACCGACTCGGAACCCTTGGCTTCCTCGCTTTGAATGATGGCAAAACCAACGGCAACTTCGGCCTCGCTGACCAAATCGCTGCCCTTGATTGGGTCCGCCAGAACATCGAAGCCTTTGGAGGTGACCCCGACCAAATCACCATCTTCGGTCAGTCTGCCGGAGCAGCCTCTGTGCGAGCGTTGCTGGCTTCGCCTAAAGCAAAGGGAAAGTTCAGCCGCGCTATCATGCAAAGCAACCTCGGGGGTCTTGCATATGGCACCACTTACTCACGGTACTATACCGTTAATGAGGAGATGGATGTAGCCGGTGATGCCATTCTGAAAGAAACTAACTGCACTTCTGCGACATCGCCTGTGGACTGTCTCCGGAACTATACCGCCAGTGCCATATCCGGGCTATCAACCACCGCGCGATACCTCGTCGTTGACGGGACATATCTGACCAGCCCTCAACTTGATCTCAGCAGCTACACAGAAGCATCGCGTGTACCTGTTATGATGGGCATCATGCGTGATGACGGTGCCCAGTTCATCAGCTATCCAAATGCCAGCGAGAGTATTGACACTTTTCTAACTGAGAATGACCTGCCCGCGTCTGTCCTCGCAAGCGGCCTTTTCCCTCTAGCCACTGGCCCCAATGCCACACTGAACATGTTCAACACCTCTGCTCGTGTGGCAACTGACGGTATGTTTCGATGCATTGATGAAGCAACAGGCTATGCAGGCGTCGTCAACAACATATTCCCTGAGGTATACTTCTATGAGTTCAACCGGTCCTATGAGCTCGAGGGTCAAGTATATAACGGTCGAGTATGCTATGCTCCCCCGACGGCAGAGTATCCAAACGGTGACCCGAATTTGGAATACTGGAAGTGTCATTCCGGGGATCTGTACTATGTCTTTGGGAATCTGCGGCGTTTGAACCAGCCATTCAGGGATGAGTATGAGCTACCGTTCGAGCAGTACGTACTGGACTCCTGGATCAGTTTCATTCGAACTGGTAATCCGAATCCGGATCCGGAGTTGTTGAGAGCTAGGGGCTATGTGAATACCACCCGGGCTGTGGAGGAAAGTGGTGCGTGGCGGCCTTTGCGAGAGGGGGACTATAGTTTGAGGAGAATGCAATGGCCTCCGTATCAAACTGCATTCAATGAGGTGGAGCAGTGCACTGCGTTGGATTTGCCGCTGAATTACTATGTGTGAATGTGGTAGATTGATCATGGTCGTGGACGACGGGGAAGATTCCATGCAGGCCAAGGGTGACTGCCCAAGAAGGACCATTCAGACATCGAGGATTTCAGGCTTCTGGACATTTCCTTGCAAATGTAGGAGATTTCCCATGTAAATTGATCGCTCTGGGCCCACCGCAATGTCTATATAAGGGGCCCAAGCATTGCCTCTAACCTCGTCTTTTCTCCCTGTCCACCCCAGAAAAGCCAAGGGGGGTGGACGGAAGGGCTGAGACCACAAATCTCAATGCTTCTTGTATCTTTATATATATGACGATGATGATGAATGAGTACATCAAGGTCACCATCCAGCTCTGGAGAAGTGTTGTTCTCACAAGACAGCCTGTGGAGCTGGCAACGGCAGACGAGATATCTTTGTCTCACACGTAAGACAAGGTACTACTCCTGAAAGGAGCGGTCATACGTACGACGACAGTGCTGTACAGGCTAAGATCATGAGGTCTCTAGTTACCGAGCAAGATGACCATGATGTCCTGATCAGTACCAATTTCATGGACATGATTTATATAACGGGCTGGCAGGACATCAACGCCCAACGCTACGCTCAGCGAAAGAACTGTGCTCACACGCCAGACCTGACTAAAACATTCTCAACTTCCCAATTTGGGTACATAATGTGTGGATGCTCGCATTCGACGATGCCAGTGTCCTGAGCCATTATGCCTGTGAGCATGAGATGTGCGATTCGACAGCACCAACGACACGAGCTATATATCATATTTTCGATGCACAACGACACAACCATCGTCTCCCCTATTGACTGGCTCGAGGAAATCGTATTCTCGAAGAATTTATTCCTGATAATTGCAAACGGGCAACATTCCCTTCCTCAGGACGCAGGCTTGGTACTGGAACTGTTTATGGTCCAGGCTATCCGTGTTGATTGGCTTTCCAGTCTGTTCTCAAGACCGAGGAGGAAACGTCTGACCACTTCATATTATTGTGGCTGCCGGTGTGGTCAAGCCCCTGCCTTTGGTCGGAGAACATCAATCCTTTCACGAGTGGCTCTTGTCAGAGACAACTTGGCCTGCTTGAAGGAAATGCACTATGACCGTCGCTACAGGCATCTCATTCGGGGCATTGCCTCTCCTTCCTCAACTGGCAAGCTAACAAGTGAAACCCAGCGTATTGTTTCTCTGCAGAGTGGAAAGCCACGGACAATCGAGAGAGATTTCCGGCTCAGCTTGCTGTAAAGTTTCCGTGACATGCTGCACTCTCTTGGCAAATACCTTTACTACGCAGCTTTGCCGGGTTATTCTGGTACTGCTGCGATTGCACTCGGCTGGGCTGCTGTTGTTGCGGATGCGGATGAGATTTTATGCCATCATGGAAGCGACCAGTCTTCTGTCTGCTTTTGACGACACTAAAGCTTATCCTACTTCCTGGCCGATATAAATGAGCTGAAACAAAAACTCAATAGACACCATATCTTAAGATTCAGGAGGCCATCGATGACATGACTGCGTGGGGCTCCCTGAATGCATGTCTCGACAGTGAATACACCGCCGATTGAGGTACGTTGGTATTCCGAAGTGACGAATGTCTCATCGGATATCGTAGATTTAAGTGCCTTGTTCTTCTCTGTCTGTGATGTCACCGACAGTTCAGGTGGTATATACAATCTAGAGGACGTCCACTATTGGCTGGGGCTGCTCTGAAAGCATCATTAACATCATGTCATTTCCCGCTCATTACTTGCAAGCAAAATCATCCTGCTGTTTGTCTCAGTCAATGCAACGTGCTGCTGCACTACTATTGAGAACCACCACCAGTTCAACACTTGTGTCTGTGTCGGTAGATTGTTACTGGGAGCTCTTGAGATACTTCTCGGACAATACAATGCTGAGAGCGATCCCTGCCGCGGTAATGGCCCTGAAAAGCGTACAGGGTCATCGGAGAGAGATCCGGGTTATAAAGGAGCTGAACAGCAGTGTAGAGAGAGCAGAAACTCTGAGCAAGACTGATGCCAAGGTGCTGCTGCAATATATATTCCTCAGGGATTGGTTGGGGTGCGCTCTGTATGAAAATCGCATGGCTACCGGATGCCTTACTGTTGTTTACAGAAATGAGACGATCTCAAGAATTGTCGCTTGTCGGTGTATACATATCATAGTGCTTTAATTGAGAGCTTGAATTCATCCACATTGGGCTACCCAAAGAGTTTGGTACCGATCAGCCAATACTTTTCCCAACGAAGACATGGTGTACTTTGTGAATCCAGCACTCCCCACACAATGCCATATCTAGGCTCACGTTTGACGTCTCACGAAGAGGATCCAAGACTGATAGCGGAGCAGGCGCAGAAAACGAAGTTTGCATCAGCTAAGCATCTTGAGTATTGTCTGGTATGAATACCTGGTTAACAGGTGCTAATACCTATATAATAGTACAAATTCGACAATTATAAGACTCTATATCACCCACGTAGACCCAATCACAACATCTATTAGCACTAGAATTCTCACACTCCCAGATCCGTAGATACTTCCAACTACCTTCCAAGCAAAACCCCCCGTGGAAAAGTAATCACTTCCTCCACCCCACCCACCTCCCCTCCCTAGGCATAACCCCATCTCCATCCCCTTCACCATTAACCCCCTGACCATTAACATCAACATCCACCCCCATCACATCCAGCATCCTCCCAACACTATGCCCCACCACCTCCTCAATCCCCCCTGGCCTCGTATAAAACCCCGGCACGGGCGGGAAAATCACCACCCCCAACCTCGCCAACGCGAGCATATTCTCCAAATGAATGACACTCAACGGCGTTTCCCTCACCATGAGCACCAATCTCCTTCCCTCTTTAATGCACACGTCTGCAGACCTGGATATCAAATCCTCGCCGTAGCCCATACGTATCGCCGCGAGGGTCTTCATGCTGCACGGTGCGATGATCATTCCGTCTACTGGGTAGCTTCCGCTGCTGATGGGGGCGGCGAGGTCGCGCGGTGAGTGGGTGTGTGTTGCTAGGGAGGTTAGGTAGGGCAGGGTGTATTGGGGACATTCGTAGCGGAGGGTTGGGAGGGCCCATTTGGAGAGGATTAGGTGCGTTTCGATGTTGAGGTCGTGTAGGGTTTGGAGCGTGCGGACGCCGTAGATGGAGCCGGTGGCGCCGGTTAGGGCGAGGATGAGGCGGTTGTGTCGGAGGTGGGATTGGGAGGGTGGATTGGGGTGTTTGGAGGGTGGGTGTGGTGGTGGTTGGGATGTGTAGGTGCGTAGGGGATTGTGGTGATGGCGATAGGGGAGGGGAGGAAGGGAGAGGAGGGGACGGAATTTCATGGTGGTCGTTGCCTGTGTCTCTGTTGGGCTTAATGAGGGGCTTCCTGGCGCGGAATCGAATGGTAATGAATGAGGAATGTATTGTTTTTGGTTGGTGTTCAGATAACTTCAGATGTATATGTGCTGTTGTATGGTTGATATGAGGGCATTCGCATACTTCTCCAATTCGGGGAAGCGGGGATTGCTTGTTTGGGGGTATAGACCATGGCACTATACGTCAGTAGATCAACTGCCGCATTCACAGCCCTAACTGGCTAACGGACTTCCCAACCTTGTTTCCATCTGGAGACTAAGCTCGCTTCGAGAGCTCGCTGCAGACCTGTCTCTCCCTAGTGTGCCGCTACCCTGCCATGTTGACGCAATAGAGTATAGATTCTCCAACCCATCTCCAACATCATAAGATGCCTCCTTGTGTTGATAGTATCCTCCCCTCTTTGAATTGACGATAATGCCGAATATCCGACTGCTATCCAGTAGCTGTATGCTGTAGATATATTTCCGTTGAACCCACCCTTAATAAAAGCAACCAAGACACCAACAAAAGCTAATACTACCATGCTACGCATCATTAGACCAAGCAGACGCATCTTCTCTCTCCGCCCCTCACGGGCATTCTCCACTACACCACTCAGAGCTAATGACTCCCCCGCCCTCAACTTCCGCTCACTGCTCTCCGCTCTCCGCGCCCAGGACGATCTCATCGACATCACACAGACCACCTCCCCTGATCGTGAGATCGCTGCACTGACTCGTCGCGTATATGAGACACAATCTCCTGCTCCACTATTTCACAATGTCACCGACACAGACCCAGAAACCGGTCTCTTCAAGATCCTCGGTGCTCCCGTCGGTCTCCGCGCTGACCCCGCCACCCGGTTCGGCCGTTTAGCCATTCAAATCGGCCTGTCCCCCACTGCCACCCCGCTCGATATTCTCGAGAAGCTCATCGCCGCTAAGCACTCGACTCCACTTCCTCCTACACCAGTTCCTGCTGCATCTGCACCATGTAAGGAGAACATCCTCCATGGCTCCCAAATTGATATGACCAAATGGCCTATTCCGCGTCTTCACCCACTTGACGGGGGCAACTACCTAGCCACATACGGATTCCATATCCTCCAGTCTCCTGATAAAGCGTGGACATCGTGGTCGATCTCCCGTGCTATGCACATCGAAAACACGCCCCGTACCATCACCGCACCGATCATGCCGGGCCAACATATCGCCCAGGTGCATAAGATGTGGGCCGACCAAGGCGCCAAAGATACCCCTTGGGCACTAGTCCTAGGTGGCCCTCCTGCTGCTGCCTTCGTTGGTGGCATGCCTCTTCCCGCATTCGTATCCGAAGATGGCTACATCGGTGCTCTCTGCGGTGAAGCAATGGAGGTAGTGAAATGCGAAACGAACGACCTCTACGTCCCCGCCAACGCCGAGATCGTGCTCGAAGGCCGCATCAGCACGACTGAGAAAGTCGGCGAAGGCCCAATGGGCGAGTATCACGGGTACATGTTCTCGGACAAGGCAGTGCCCGAGCCGAAGATCGAAGTGGACTGTGTCACGTATCGGCGGGATCCCGTGGTCCCGATCTGCGTGGCGGGGTTAGCGCCGGACGAGACGCACACGGTGTGGGGGGCGGCGATATCGGCGGAGATTTTGGATGCATTGCGA